AGAGACAATCCTATATCTCATTGTGTATACAGGCACCACAGTAATTACTCTAGGTGTACAATAGTAATATCGTCTTCAATCTATTTTATAGAAAATGTATATTATCATCCAGTAATGCTTTAATTAGAGCTAAGGTCACACCTAGGAACTTTAACTACTCGGCTTGTCAGAATTAGATTTTCCATTTCACAAACTACAGTAGGAAATTAGTCACTAGGAATATCTCTATTGCAGACACTCTTTTCTGCTAGGTATGGATTCATTGCCAGCTTTTTTTTTCCACCCCAAAGCCTAGTTTCATTCTTCCTTCCTCACTCTCTGTTTTGACCCAATAAATTTGACCTGCATTTCCTGCTTAAAGAATAACATCTATTTTCTGCTCTTCCCCTTTCATTGTTTGATTGTTTATACGTTTATTCTCATAGAGGGAAGCAAACTCTGAGGCTTTGTCCTTGTTGTGGTTGCTGTTTCCTCTAACCTAGTCGGAGGCACACGAATTGTGAATACACACACGCATGTGCAGGGGTCTGCTCATGGCAGCCACCTTCCTGTTAATGGGGGTGTTTAGTCTGTCCCATGAGTATTTGGAGGCGACCCTCCTGCCTGCACACTTACTCTGGGCTCTGACCCAGTCACTTTATCTCCAGGCTGTTTTTCTCCTGCTCCATTTGATCCTGGAGTACAATTCCATTCCCACAATGTAACCTGTCTCTTACCTCAACTGCTTTGTTAGTCCAAAAATACTTCCCAATGCTGCAGGGTGCTGCAGACTGTGAAAGTAGGTTGTGTAGACCCTTTACTTAGATTTAAGCAGCCATAGCAAAGGGCATGAATGCAAGTGTTATGATTGAAGTAAGTGACAGTAGAATTGTTTTAATGTTTCCTTTAAATGGCCTGTCAGCTCATAGACAGTGTCAGTTCTCACAATAGGTTGAAAAAAGTTTATGTTTCCTCTTGTGGTTTTGCTCCAGGGTTATATAAAGTATTGTGCAGACTTAAAATAAAAAAACAAACCAGGTGGAAACTGAAGGAAAAGTGCACAGAGAGAAAAGAAAGTCGAGATCAGAGACGGAGTGCACAGTTGAAGGGAAGTTCCTGCTCTTTGTGCTAAGCCTGGAGGGACCCTCAGCCTTGTCGTAGCCCCCATGGAGTGAATTTAAGAGGGTCAACTTTAACAAGGGCTGTATTGATTCTCTGTGTTTGAGGGAGGAGAGGGTGCCTATGTCTGTTTTTTTTAGAATAGTAGGATGAGGACAAGACAGGGGCGGCACTGCTTTTTGTCTTCATGTTTAAGTCTCCATTCAGCCAAGTGGCAGGGGGCAACACTCGGTGGTCTGGACCCCAGTGGACGACACACTTTGACATTTGCTGTCACGTTGATGATATTTATTAGGTCACAGTTACATAAGACACCTACAGTTTCAATTTCTTTAACATTACATTTAAGCCTTTTGCCTGTCCAGGATACTTCAAAAGTAATGGTTTAATTTATTTTCCAAACGCAGCATTATTGTAAGGTCAATTAAAACAAAAAATTTCTTCATCAAGTTTGGATAGTTACTTATTTTTTTTAATTTCAATTTGCTTTAGATATTTCTTAATCAAAAACACCAAAAAAAAAAAAGCCTGATTTCATGTCCTCAAATGTTAAGCTTTATGCTGTACATTGTCTTGTTTTATTATTGATTGAGTATAATCTGGTTTTGAACTGCTGGTCTAATTAGATATTTTTTCCACCATGATCTGGCATTTCTAATCTATTAACCAAGAAAGTACTGGTGGGTTAATCCAGAGAAAATTCATATTTAGTTGGGTCCCAACTTAGGCTTTAAACAGCAGCCTTTACTTAAATGGATTCCGAGGTGTAGGAATAAAGACGTCTGCCATAGAGTTTGTTGGGCGATTTATAAGGTCATTGAGGGAGAAAGCTGTTGTGGCTGCCCGTTTACTAGTTGTACATGTCTGCTATCTGTCAATGGTTGGCTGGGCTACAGAGAAAAGATGAAAAATGGTGTTTGTAAGCTTTGAGGGCTACAGGCTACAGCCAACAGTTACTTTCTACTTTGACTGATCTGAGAAGTTCTTTTTTAATCAATAGCTCAACCTGAATATTGAATAAACACTGAAAACTGCATCTTGAGATGTCTTGTTTTGTCTGTCAAGTAGTCCAAGTGGCAATTCTAATTAACATTGAAAATGGTAATGGTTACACATTCTCACATTTGCATTTATGCTTTATGTATGACTTACCGGTAAATGCAAAGTATTTTTTTTTAATCCATAAGAACATTTTTTTTGGGGGGGTTGAGTTATCTGGGATCTTTTTCTGCTCTTGTAGTGCTGACACAGACTTAAGTACTCCAGTAATCTGAATGTAAGGAGACAAATCTTTCACTCAAGAAAAATGTCTTTATTACATTATAATTAAATATGGAGCCTAAAATATCTAGATAAACGGCAATGTATTGACTCCCAACCCCTGTATTGTGATATGTATCACATTGGACAATACACTGTCCTTATAACCACAGACTTCAGTAAACTTTTGACATTTTGGGAGCGCTGGTGGCTTGGTGGTTTCTCCCAATGTATCGGGCTGTGGTGCTTTGGGTGGGCGGTCCGGCTCAGTCTCCGTTACTGCATGTTGTACCCTGCAGTGTCGCTCTCTCTCTCTCCCTGATTTCTAACTTCATCCACCAAAGAAAACCCCCCAAAAATCTAAAAAAAAAAAAAAAAAAGGAAAGAAGTTGTCATGAATTGATAATATATATTTGGGATATTTTGAACTAAAACAGTTTTATTTGATAATTACTAATGAGTTATGAATTAAAATATGAAGCAGGTTTATCAGTTTTATTTATTACAGTTTCAAAAGCGTCTGTCTTAACCTTGATTTCTTTTATTGTTCGGTCCCTGCTGTCTATCTTTTGTGAGCTTCACTCAACTGTGTCCATCTAAAACATTTCACGTTTCTCTGGTTTCACCTGAGGCTGTTGAATATTAACACACAAAGATTCACACACTCCTAAAGACAACCAGATGACCACTGGATCCTTTCAGGTTGCCTTTACAAGACTCGGGTCTTTCTCAAGAGCCTTTCAACCACATCCAACCTAAACCTATTCCCACCGTTTTGTAAGACTTTTATATACACAGGCTTAGCTCCAGGTTCTCCTTTCTCCTGACAGTGGTTTGGTGCTCACACACATGGGAGGTGTGTTGAAATAACTCCTCCGTTTGATCCTCTGAGGTTTCAGTAGCTTTGGGAGCATTCCTCCTCTCTCTTCTGTGTACTTTACCACCAGTATCCACGGTCCAGATCTGAGCCCCATGGCCAGGGGAGGGGACCCCTCGCTGATCAGCAGGTTATGTTTTGGTTCTGGGGGGGAATGTGCTGTGTCTCAGGTCTGGTCCAGATCAGATTGCTGCCCCCCTCAGTGCATTTGTTGGCCTTGGACTTACTGAAGCTTTTTGGGTTGCAGATGTTTCCATATGTTCTCAGGAACATGTTCTGATTTAGTATCTTTTTGCTGATCAGTTGTGAAAAAGAAATGCAACTATAGCAGGTATTGTAACCTGTTCAACGGGATAAAGGGTCCCGATTCATTTCTTGTCTTATTAATATCATCATGGAAGCATATCACCGTCTTGACTAATTTGATTGAATTATTGAATTGCAAGTACCAAATATTTATATCAAAGAAAAAGATTCTCTAAATAGATTTCCCTGCCAATTTGACTCACCCTGTCACAATGTCATGCCTCCTCACAGTGATGCTTGTGACATGAATGAGGGGACCGAAGTTAATTGGCCAAAGAAGAAGTTGATAAAAGAAGAGCACAGTGGGATAATGTCAGAGAGCATTTAAAAGATGAAGAGCAGAAAGAGGTGAAACTGACACCAAATTGCAGTGAATAAATACATAAATTCTGCTCTTTCCCTTATGAGGGGCATTTTATATTCTTCAGTTAATCAGATATCCTGAAGTAATTCTGTATGCTTGTCGTGGGCCACATCACGTATCTTATCATATCGTGGGTTACCCTGTGATACCCACTCCTTATTTAAGTATCTTTATGAGGAGACTAATTACTATAACATCTGTTATGGGGTGTCGATGGCTTGGTGGTTAAAGACATTTCAGTTACCAGAACAGACTGAACACCTGACTTGAATTCATTTCTGATCTATATTTGAGTTGTAATTCTGTAAGAAGACCTGATTTGTTGTTTTATTCACACAACTTATTTGTCATTGCAAACTTACAATGAATACAAACTCATTTCAGAAACTATGAAAATAAGTGTTTGTTATTTGAACTCATGCTAATAATCTCCAGACTCTGGCTCTCAGATTTGGACACAGAGAGAAAGTAAACATGAGGCTTCAGTTGATTGTTTGGATTGGGACTCCCCCGGATCCCCCCGTCTCAGCATCATGCTTTTACGCTTGGTTTATTTTCCTGACCCAGTCACTTTTGAAAGTCTTTTTACCCTCACATTTGTTTCGCTCACAAAAACATTCTGCAAAGTTGTTTACCCAGAGTATTAGCTGACCTCCCTGCTCCTTCCACCCAAACACCTAAGCAGGAAGAAATGTTAGCTCTCTATTAGTGGCACGGTGCCACAGCATTGTGATCATGAAACCTTTGTGTTAAGTTTAACTTGTGTGAAAACACGATGTGATTAGTATCAAGGTCATTGTTTTCACTGTAAGCCCTCTTATCTGCACAATAGAGATGATTACCTACTTTTTACTCGACATGTTTTCAGATGTGTGTGCAGGTATTTTGTACTTCCATCATCTGTGTGTATTGTTGAACTGTTTTTCATCCTGAATCAACATTCTTAATCCTTAATTATCTCAAGATTTTTAAAAAATAGAGCAGCCAATCCACGTGTCTGTCTCCACCCAGTTATTTACAGAAGCTTTGAGCCTGTATCTCTTCTTGTGTTTGTGATTAAAGATGTGGGTGCGTGTGTGTGTCCATTTTCCTCAGGTGTTCCAGGACCTCGGTGTGTCGGTGCTATCTGGAGCCTCTGAGGGTTACAATGTGTGCCTATTTGCCTATGGACAAACAGGATCTGGAAAGACCTACACCATGATGGGGACATCGGTGAGGAGAACACCAGAAACACTGCATTACATCATTTTTATTTTTTTGGGTGACTCAAAAAAATTATTGATTTCCGGTGAAAAAAGCTGATTTAAAAATTCTTATTTTGATAAATTATGCCATCGGGTCAGTAACAGGCCTAGACGACACAATACAAATATGTTATGTGCAAAGACTTTGTTCAATACTGATATACTAACAATAAGAGACGTGAGAAATAGACTATTATGCATACTCCCTTTCTCTTACAGTTTTATATCTATCTGCTGTTCTTCCTGAATCCAAAATAATGCCTAAAAGCATTTTTCCACTGAAATTGGCACCAATTAATCTGAGAGTAGCTGATACTTTTAGCTTCGTCTGTCTGTAATAAAAATGGTGTGTACTTGGGCTCTATGTAATTGGTCAAATGTATGCATACTGAGTGCAATAAGCACTGCTTATTGATATAGAATGATTTTCTTAATTATTGGAATAAATTCAGTCAATTACGATGTGTTTATTGAGAATGCTCTCATTGCAATAACAATCAAAATTGTGATTTATTGTGCAGCATTAATCTGCATATAATGGTATACTCCCCTATTTCTGATCATGTTTTTTAGGGTGTATCTAAAGCATTCAAACCCTCTGTTCAGAGAGACATTTTGCTGTGACCCAGTTCTACACGATAACTGTCAAAATGATTCACCTCCACCTTCTCCTTTTCTAAGGGCTGTCAGGGCTCCATCGGATTGACACCTCGGATCTGTCAGGTACGTCAACAAATCATGACGTTCAATATAATGAGCTCAGTGGTGAGTAAACTACATTGAATGTACTGTAGGGTACTGTAGTGTGAAGCATTTCTCCTCTTCTCACAGGGTCTCTTCAGATCTGAAGACACTTTTCCTGACGGGCAAAACTCGAGCAGAGTGGAGATCAGGTACTGTGTCTGACTCTTTGTCATTGTCTCTCCCTTTTTAAACAATCTCATGTTGAAAGACAACACAATTATGCTTTTTAGCTTTTGGCAGCACAACAAGGCAAATCACAAACTGGATTTTCTTGTTTGTGTTGAAGTGATCCAAAACTTCTTGTCGGTGGTGTTTGTTTTACAAAGCATATATTAGTCTTTCTGGTTTGTCCCAGCCTGTCGTCAAGTCCAAATGTTTTCAGAAAGAAAGATGTCGAGGTTTTAAGAATTTGAAGATTATTACAATAGTGTGTAGATTGTGTTTCTGCGTCATTTGGTCGGGTCACCAGTCTGCAACGCAGACCATGTAACCATGACAACGACCTGGTTTAAAATACAGCCGTTGTCACATACCATCCTCTCATTTGTCTTTATGGACTGTCTTTTAAATCAAGGGAACATGCCAGAAATATTAAATCTGTAAGGTTATCTTTCTGACATGATGTACTGATGATGTAAATAAAACGGCTGTAAAAAAAAAGTTTAAGCACATATATGTGTGTGTCTTCATAGCAGGATTTTGTCTGATCTAGGGATGCAGCCGTTAGAGATTTTTAAAGGTTCTAGTCATCACTTGTGTATAAAACCATCAAGGAACTCACTTCTAACATAATATCCCTCAGTCATTACGTTTTACTTTTATTTGGTGCTTAGTGCTGGGTGGTGATCTCACAGATGCTACCTCAACTTTGAAACTGTTTTTCCAGCCGGTTAACTGCTTCATCCCTAGTCTTATCCCTCTGTCCCTGCAGCTTCCTGGAGATCTACAACGAGCGCGTGCGAGACCTGCTTCGAGGTGGAGAGCAGAAGAAGAGAGCCTCCCTGAGAGTCCGAGAACACCCTGACAAAGGACCCTATGTACAAGGTGAGGGTTTCATCCCCCAGCACCAAGACACGAGCTATTTATTCTTCCATACTTTATTTTCTGATGATATAAAGCAGACAATATATCTGCACATAGATTCACCCTCACACACATACCCATGGATGTAAACTCAATCTGTGAAGGGTAGGTATTGAATGACAGTTTGTGCAGAATTCTTCCCTAAAAACACAAAGCAAATGAAAATAATTGAATGGATTATGCTTATAATTAAAATTCTGTATTCAAACATGACCCCACAGTTCCAGGTGTAATTGCAGAAATCGTTCAGCTCATAAATCAACAGATCATTTCTACTTTCTGTAATTTTCTGTCACTTTAACTGATTAAGCCCTTAAATAGAGGTCTAGAGGCTGCAAAGTCTTATTACCCTGCCTGGATCATTTCATTCAGAGTGGAATAAAACTCTATTTTAAAGAACCTTGCAGTAACCTTTTTGTCACAGACGCACAGCATAACTTTTGCATATTTGCATTTTTGAACTTTCTGGTTTTGTGGTTAATTGTCTTTCACAGGCAATGAGCTTCAAGAAGTGTCTTATGACAGTTTGTAAAATATCACCACAGTGACACTACACTTCACTACAAACTCACCACAGTGGTTCATGGTGTTAAAATAATGTGCCTGAAACGTTTGAAACTTAAAGAGTGAAGATGAAAGTGGATAGCAGAGGTTGTATCTGATGTCTCTACACTCTCATACACACAATTTGGTCAAATTATGGACCAGGATGTGAAACATGGCCTGCAGTATTTTGAGTAATTCTCATGTCTTGTAAGTTTAGTTTGAGAGTCACTGTGGGATGTGGCCAGCGGTGGAATTTTGTTCAGTTGTTAAGTTCTTTAGATCAGTTCCAAAATAGGCTATCCTGGCTCTAATCCAGCCTCCTCATGTTTCTCTCCTTCTCTCTCTCTCTCTCTCTCTCTCTCTCGCTGTCGTGTGTCTTCTTACTTTCTGCTTCCTCTCTCTAACTATTCTCTCCACGTTTAAAGCCCCACATCCACTCATTGTCTGTATCAGGAGAAATCCCAGTTGACCAGAGGAAGTGAGATCATTTCCTTGTGGTTCCAAGGAGAACGCTTTAACACACACACACACACACACACACGCACACACACGCACACACACAGCACATAGAGGACTCCATTACTGACACTACATCAACACGTGTTCATCAAATTATGTTTCAAAATCATTTCTCATTTCTTGTGGAACAATTCAACATTTTGTAAAATCATTGGTAAAGCATTGCAATGTTTAAAAAAGGAATAAGGAACCACTTTATAGCACCATGACACCGTGTTGCAATCTGTGCTTGCACGTGTTAAAAGCTGCTGAAGTTAATGATTCACGCCAGGAATTAGGACATTGTTCTTCTTTCTTTTTTTTTTTTCTGTGAGGAAAATATTACGAATCAAACATGAGTTAGTTGGCAATGATGAGACATTTAAGTCTCTGTCCTCACTTTTAGTTCAGCTTTAATCTTAAAATGTTAAGCCAAACCTTTCAAGCTTTGACCATTTATTGATTTACATATTTACATTTATTTTTATCCTGGTGATCATAAAATGTGAATCTTAGTATACAAATATAATAAAGAAAAGAGCTTGAACTGCACTGAGTCCTCTAGAGAGTTACTCTGCCTGAGTTCCACATGGATTACATTCCATTGTGAGAAGTAGGTCAATGAACAGATCTATTAACAAACCCTAACCTATTTGTTCTCAACATTTCATTTCTTTATCACCAGACCTCTCCCAGCATGTGGTCTCAGACTGTAAACAGGCCATGGACCTTTTGGAAGAAGGCATCGCCAACCGCATCACTGCAGCAACCCACAACCACGACGCCAGCAGCAGATCCCACGCCATCTTCACCATCCTGTACACACAGGTCGTTATCTATGTGCACTGCCACAGTCATCTGTTAATGAGTCAATCGGCTCTCTCTCTCTCTCCCTCTCTAACTTTTGCCTTACATCGCTGTTATAGAGTTTCTCTTCTATTGTAATATGCTTTTAATATTGTTAGTATTTGTTTTTATTTTAGTGATAATATTGATAACCTTTTTCTGATTCTAGTTTGATTGCTTTTGTCTTTTCTGCAGGCAATCCTTGAAAACAATCTTCCTTCAGAAACCGTCAGCAAGATTAACCTGGTGGACCTGGCAGGGAGGTAAAACTGTTATCTCCTTCTGTTTTTTTCCCCCATCAAAGTCTTTGGAGCACAAGTCATTGACAAACCTGCCCCCTAGTGGATCTTGGCTAATGCCTTGAGGTTTTCCTTTTCCTCAGATTTTTGAAGGGATTATCAGTGTATTCTCTCTCTCTCTTTGTAACTGGATGTTGTTTTGATTGGTTGTTTCTGCCAGTGAGCGTGCCGACCCCATTACTGCAGAGACAGACTGACAGAGGGCTCTAACATCAACAAGTCGCTGGTCACTTTGGGCATTGTCATATCTGCTCTTGGTAAATTAAGATGGTTAAAGAAACCAGATGCCGTTATTCCAGTATTTTTTCCATCTGCAGCACCCTATCCATATATCACTCATCGTTTGCTCCCTTTCTTCCCTCTGCCTCCACAGCCCAGAACTCCCAGATGTCCAACAGCTGTCAGAGTATAAACAGCATGGCCTCTGAGGGCGATGGCAGCACGGTGGGTAGCCACAGCAGTTCCCTGTCTGGAGGAGGAGGAGGAGGGGCGAGGAGACACTGCTTCATCCCCTACAGAGACTCAGTCCTAACCTGGCTGCTGAAAGACAGCCTGGGCGGCAACTCTAAGACCATCATGATTGCAAGTAAGTGGGCAAATGTCAGCCCTGCAAAAGGACCATGAGTGTGAGTTTGTGACTGCATATAATCATTTAAACTAAATGTTCAACATCTTTACTTAATGCTCATGCTGTTATGTATCAGCTTGACCTTGTATATTCAACAGTTTCTTACAGCTCACAAAATCCCTTTGAAAAACCATTTTGTAGTAACTTGAACACACTGGCAAACACATATTTCACACACATATTTCCTTTATGTGAGTACTAATTGCTGTTCCTGCTCGTGTTATTTCTCTTGTGTGTTTGTGTTGCAGCGGTGTCACCCTCTGCTAACAGTTACAACGAGACCCTCAGCACCCTTCGCTACGCTGCCCACGCCAGAAATATTGTCAACAAGCCTCGCGTTAATGAGGTCAGAGCCTGTTTAGTGTCTGACTGCAAAATTTTATGTTTGATCAAAACGGTTTTCAGTAGGTTAATGTGCGCTGTGATCTCTGCGCAGGACGCCAATGTTCGGCTGATCAGGGAACTGAGGGAGGAGATTGACAGGCTGAAGAGCATGCTGCTCAGCTTTGAAATGGTATGGTGACCTTTTACTGTTAGAGCATTGCACTAACTCTCTCAGGGATCTGGTTTTACTCTCCAAATAAGCCTTCTTTTGGTACCAGATGGCTTTGAATATAAAAGAATCCCACATTTTCTGTTTTCTTGCAAATGTCTAACACAGTGCTTTGTGTCTTTGTGACATGTTTTAATCCCATGGGTGGTAAAAAAAAAAGTGATTTGCATTGTAGAGAATGACATTTTCCTTCTACACAGTATGTTGACTGACCATATTTTACCCTCTTGACTGACAGCAGCGGAATCCCAGTCCATCCCTGAGCGATGAGAGGGATGGAAATCTTTCTGACATCGTGCTACAGAATGAACTTAAGGTAAGCCAGGATCAATGCAGATTGTTATACCTGCCTGGCATAGTCTTTAACACATCAAGTTGCATTGCTTTTTTTCAGTAGTTTTTGCTATCATCAGACTGACACTAATTTGACTATAAATAAATACTGGGCAAATTCTAATCATAAGGCCTTTATTTAGAGACAGGAAATAGTGATGGGGAGGTGTTGCTGGTGCGAATGAAAATTGTGATGTTGGCTATTGTTGATATCATCATCTGACTACAATTACCACTATGACTTGATTCCTTCTCTTACCAGTAATTCTCTTTCTGTTTTTTTTTTTCTTTTTCCCTGTACAATCCTCAGGTGGAGCAGCTAACAAAGGATTGGTCAGAGAGCTGGACAGACAAGAAGGAGCTGCTGGAACAATGCAGCGTGGACATCAACAGAGACCGAGCTGGATTCCTCATCAGCTCCCTCCAACCGCACCTGGTTACTCTGGACAGAGATGTCCTCAGCACCGGCGTGGTCCTCTATCACCTCAGGGTAAGATGCACAAACAGAAATGTTGTTGTATTTTGGTTTTGTTAACTGTCCCATCTTGATAAGTTTATTTCTTCATTGATATCTCTTAGTATTTGTTTGTTTATATACATATGTCTTAGTTAGGAAATAAAATACTAGTGTGAGTGAAGAAGTTATGGAATTATGCATGAACTTCAACTCTGTCTCTTTCTGGGTACTTTTCTTTCCATCCCAAGAGACACATCACTCAATTGCACACAATCTGTTACTCTATAAATACACATTTGCATGAACATGTTTGATAGTCCATCAAACTGATATTGTTTGCATTTTCTTCTCTTCCTCGCCCCCCTCCACTCTGAAGTTTCTGATTTGTCAGCTGTCTTGACTAAAACTTTGAAAATCTCTATTTTCCCCCCCATTAGACTCTCTTCCTTCCCCCTTCTGCTGTTTGTCTTTGTTCTGCTACAAAAACTCTTGAGAAAAGGTGCGTTTCTTCCTTCTTCTCTCCTCATTCTTACCCTCCAACTGTCCTGTCGATCTCCCATCTTTCCCCGTGTGTATGTTTTCCGCAATGCATAAAGCTCGGTTGTATAAGAGGCTCTTAGTTCTCAAGCTAGACTCAGGGGAGCTTAAGCTGTCCTGATTCTGACAATGACAAGCATACCCTTAGGCCTGACAATTACACTGTTTCTTGCATGTGAAGAGCTCAGGCCACCTGGGAACGCATGTGGTCTTGACACCATATACGAAAGCCTTTAATCCCATTAGATAAAACTTCAAAGTAAACAAATGATATATTTTCTGTCAGCTAAGTGGAGATTAGAAGAGAAGGGACAATAGTTCTCTGAGGATCATAGCGTAAAGTCATTGTGTCCACTATTGCTTGCCTTTTAAGCACCAGCAGCTAACGTCTTGTATCTAAGATATTTGTTTTGATGTTTGTGTTGGTGCAGATTTTAATAAACCTGTCAATTTTGTTTTTTTTACAGGAGGGAGTTACCCACATTGGACCTCAGGAACTGTCTGCAGAGCCACAAATAGGTATTATTCATTTATTTGACAGCCTTGAAGTTTCCCTTTCCAACTGCAAATATTCCTTTTCTAAATGTTTCATATGTATTTTCTGTTAACTGCTGTACATTATGCATCTCAGCATACAGTATGTAGAAAGACATACAGCAAACTGGAGCGTTTACAAAACATTACTTTTAGCATCAAAACATGGATTATGACAAGACAAGAACTTATTCAACTATACTATATACTTTAATATTGGTATAACAAATTGTATATTCCCAAAATGCTACTGAATTTTCAATATATGCCTTATTAATTGCTCAAAGTTTGTTGTATGTATGTATGTATATATATATATATATATATATATGTATGTAGCACAGCTTGACAATTCAGTGTGAGTGATTGTGTTTCTGCATCCTGTTTGCAGTCTTGCAGGGTAATGCCAGCTGTGAGATTGAAAACCACGGAGGTGTTGTGACGCTGAGACCCCTGCCGGGCTGTGTCTGCCTGCTCAACGACAGAGAGGTCACTGAGTCCTGCAGACTGGCTCAAGGTAGGCTCCTATCCACGAGAACAGAAATAAACTGTTTGTTGGCATTACCATTACCACTGCATTTTTTTTACTTTTATGCATAGAGGTTGGATATTTTGTATTCACCATGAGCAAGAAACACTAAGTTAGTTTTTTTTTTTTAAATCTGATTACGACTCATATCAATTTACATGTCATTTTTTACTTGACTGGTAACTAGAACTTATATTTGTTGTATATACTGAGATACTTTTTTACTGAAGCCCTAAGAGGACATTCATCTATACGATTTATTTTACGCTGTTATCCTGTGATAACAAGTACATCTCCAGTGTTTTCTCAAGATTTATTTTGTCATCTCGGGATAACAACGCTTGTCTTGAATTTATCATTATCTCGTTGTCTCGATTAATCAACTCGTTTTCATGGAAAACTGTGTTGATATCATAATATAAAAACATACAAATAGATCTCGAGGAAACAACTGGAAATTATTAATTGTTATGATGGGTAAACAGTAAATTAAAAAAAAGTATGGAATGTATCTTAGGTATGACAAATGTGGAGTTGAGAAAGACAGTTAGGATAGATATCAGACACAGTTATTTAATGCTACCATAGCTATAACTGTGTCATAACAACTGAACAAAACTCATAATAAAAGTCTCAGAATGTAGGCAAATGATTTACTAGTTCAGTTTAGTTTATTATTAAGGTCCCCATTAGCTTCTGTGTTCATCAGTAGCTACTCTTCTTGGGGTCTTCATATCTTCACTGACAAGATTTTATCAAAGTACTATTGACCATGCAAACTACTATATATAGAGAGACCTTACCAATGAGCATGGAATCACTTAATGCCTATAGCAGAAAAAATGCCACACTTAAGTAGTATCATACGCATACCTTTGTGATGCTGCTAGAATGACACACATCTAATGATGCATAAAATCAGACCTGAGCAGCACTTGACACGGAGCATTAAGGCCTGTAATGCTACTGCTGCACTATACTGGATATCACATGTAGGTTAATGTGCAATTACACACACTTGCTCAAAGATGCACAGATATGACTTGATAACATACAGTATATGGGTTAATGTACAATTTAATATGCATGCATGCTTGAAGTGCACAGATTTCCAACGGCAAAAACATGGATACATAACTCTTTTACCCTGCAGCCTTAATCAACACGATGCTTCAGTATGAGTGCAGCTTGTGATGAAAGCTATGTCTCTGTCTCCAGGGATGGTGATCACCTTGGGAGGAGTGCATAAGTTTCGTTTCAACCACCCAGCAGAGGCAGCCGTGCTCAGGGAACGCAGGCGGGTGGGTGCTGCTCTCTGAAAATGGAAATGTGATTGATGTTGCAGGTTATGATGTCAGTAATAATGATAATAAACTGTGGTTGGTAAACTAATGCAAGTAATACACAGGTTATTTCTAATCATGATTTTCTACAGTGTACGTGTGCGTCTATTTATGGTGGATATTAGTTGATCTTCTTGTGTTGTTCTCAGGCAAGTGAAAGCGACATGACCTGCACCTACATTGACCTATGTCCCCTGAGTCCTGACCACAGGTAAATGATAATAACTTTTTAATGATGCTCCCAGAAATGATATTCAGACCACAAAATGCAACACTCTCACACCATATTTGCATGATGCAGAGAGACCTTATTCTTCCAACTCACAGCATACATAATTGATAAGAGGTACATATGTTTTACCAGTGTTCATGCTGTGGAAATGGGGCAATGCTTCATGCATGTTTTAATCCAGCTGGTAGAGGTGACATGTGTTCAGTTTGCCTCCACCCCTGTGAACTATCCCTGTTAGCTGTTCTAGCTCAGCCGTTGCCTGGTTACTGTTCAGGCTCTGAACTGGAAACCAACAACAGAAAGTCTTATTTCAAAAGCACCAAGAGCAAACTTCTATATACTGTGAATGGAATAGAACCCAATTGAGCTTAAATAAAATGATTTTCTTTGCTTTTTTGAGCTTTTTGCCCTGATAGATCACTCTAAGTACATGTTTTTCCTGCATCCATTTTATAGTGTTGAAGAAGTAAAACTCCAAGGGCAGCTGGGTGACTGTCTCTCCCCCAGTGAGGAGTCTACTGCGAGGCAGCGTGTGGAGGCACAGCAACGCTACGTGGAGAGTTTGCGACAGGAGATTCATGCTGAACAGAGATGGGCTGAGAGAGAGCTGGAGCGCGAGCAGGACCATCTTCAACAGCAGCACAGTGAGAGTAAGTACAGTATTCCTTCTGCAAACTAACCCTGAGAAAAAATACAACTGCTCATGCACATACATGTCAGCTTTTAAATTCCAATTCCCAATGTTAGAGTTTTAGAGCAAGATGGATTAAAAAGAATGTACAGTATCAAAAAATTATGTGCAGGGCTACACTATCAACCCTTATTATTTCCTGTAAATCTTTCCTAAACAGTCCAGCAGTGGATTGTGCAGGAGACGCACCACCTAACAACTGTTGAGCAAAGAATCACTCAAGAGTTGGGAGTCCAAACTGACCTTGTCCCTGCACCCCTCCTGGAGCGACTTACAGGTCAGGCACCTGAGGATCAGGAAAGTCAGATAGTCGATCGGCCACCGCTAGTTTCAAGGGCCTGGAAGAGGGCTGTGCAGGAGGAGCTACTGAAGCATCACGCCCTTTGCCGCGCTGAGAGCCGCATCCGTCGGAAAAGGTTGCACTATCAGCTGGAGAGAATTGCCCGCAAGCGGCATCTATTGGAAGCTAAGAGGGAATTACAACGGTTGGAAAGGGAGTTTCCTCCAGGACCGGACAGTCCAGAGTCTCCTGAGTCTCCAACAAAAGTCAGAGGAAGACGCTCTCGTAGACACTCATTCTCTGCAGATCTTTTGTCCAGACTCTACCCACAGCCCACTCCTGTCTTCAGGTAAGGTTTTAAAGTTGAATGAATGATGTAAACATCTAACAGTGATTATAAACTCCCATATTATCCATCAATTCTTTTTTTTATTAAACTGTTTTGTGGTTTGTTGAACCTCCAACTTACAGATCTTTCCCAAATTTGGATCCTAAATGTATTTTTTCTTTTCTCCACAGACACTTCCTCAAGAGAAATAGATCCACAGAGCTGACATCAAATTCCTTCCCAGCTTCTGATTCCATTGGCAGCAGGAAGTGGGTTTCAGATGAATGTCTTCCTCGAGAAAGAACCCAAAGTTGCTCTGCTGTGATCTTCTCAGGACAGAGCCAAGCCTGCAGAAGTAGAGTAAGCTCTTGCGAGAGCATTAGACAAGCTATCCAAGATGAACCTAGACCTCAACCCTGCCGGGAACGACCAGAAAGAAAACCTCTGCTGCCAAACCGAGACTTGTCTTTTAAGAGCAGATCAGATCAGAACTCAATGTTCAGACTGAAGTCACCATTTGGAACTTCTTTGCAGCCAGTCAGCAAAGAAAATATGCAAGTGCCCAAAACTACTGAATCAAGTTTTCAGACTTCCTCTTGCCCAAATGAAAAAACACAACTGTACACTGCCAGCACTGGACTAGAAACGGTCAGGAAGACTTTCTCTTCTTCTGTTGGGCCCAAGTTAAAAACAGCTCTTACTAACGTTTTCAAGAAGCCACCACCAGGTGTGAATGGAAAACGAGACACCAAACCTTTTGAGAAAATATCAAGCAAATTTAGCTGGAGACAAAGAAAAGAACAAACCCTTAAAGAAAACAACATGAGCAGACGCAAATGTACGGTTAAAACAGCCGTCTCATGTGAAGATTTAGACCAAAGGATTCTGTTTGAGGACATTAGACAGAGGCGATGGCATAGTACTGAGGCTCTGATGAACAAGACCAGCAGGTGGGTGGAGAACAGGCAGGGATTGATTGGATGGGAGGAAGAGCAAGAAGACAGGGATGAGGGACCATCAGACTGCGATAGCCTTTTCTCTCTTGATTCCCTGTCTTCTGCTTACGCAACAGCATTGGCAGAGCAGCTGCGTCAAGAGGAAGCAGCTCAGAGTGACACAGAGAGTGTAGACAGTCAGATGTCTAAGGATTCATTGGCTTTGGGAAGCAGTGGGAAAAACACAACAGTGGAGAGATTTAGCCAAACATTGGTGCCAACCTACTCATTGGTGACTGATTACTCCCATTCATCCATACTGCACAATAGAACACTGCACAATAGAACAGGAGATAACAGTTTAGATGGAAACAGCTGTCATAAACCTCAGGTAATCCCAGTAGAAGTGTGCTGGAGCCAACAAGACTCTCCAAGATCAACTCACGGTGGTGCAACAAAGAAGACTGCTGCCCACAATCAATTAGTAGCAGATTCCAGGTGCAGAGACACTGTACACAAATTGATTGAGGACTTTGGGAACGTACAGAATATTTCAACCAGCAGCCCAGGCTCCATGAGCAGCTGCAGCATGAGGGAGCCAGAAAACATGCTGGCTCTTACTGATGCTTGGTCCTCCACAGATGCAGCTGACAGTCCAGGGATTCACAGAGATTCTCTGCCTTTCCAAAGAAAAAATGTGCTCAGAGGCATGGAAAGTAGCAATTGTAGTAGTCAAAGTCCAACCAGTACAAACGTATCAGATTCTCAGAGTGAATCTAGAAGCTGTAGCTCAATGTCTTCCTGCCCCAATGGTGTAAATATGACAGTTCAGGAACACAGTGCTGAAAGCTCAAGGGGAACATCAGCAACATTAGATTTTCAAGACTCTAAAATTGAAACAACTTCAGATGATACTCTGAATGAGTTGGGATGTTGTGTGAAACAATCAGAACAAAGAGAAAATGATCAGAAAACTGTCATAGATACTTCTTACTACAGTAGCAATAAAGGTCCAGCATCCTTAACAACGTTGAATCAAACCAGGAGTTTGTTACCTACTGATGACCTCCACACTGAACAAGCATCACAAGGCAAACTGCTTCCGGTGTTAACAGATGAACCTGAAATGGAAGCAGCTGACTTTACGATGTCGTCTGCTGATGAAACGTGTGCATCCGATTGTCAATTGGTCACACATTTTCCTAGAAGTCCTACCAACCAAGGTCCAGTTTTGGGCAAGAATTCTGACCCTGCAAGTGCCTTCAAACCATCCCCTGAAGATAAAGTACTATGCAATTTAGATTACCCAATAGAAAAATTAAAAAAATCTCAGAAATATGACTTTGGGAATACCAATTTTCCTACAAGGGACCAAACGTTGGATGAAACCAAAGGCACTGAGCCGTACATTGCTCTACAGCAGGAGCTTGTTAAATCGGCTTGTAAAAATTCCAGGAAGAGGAACAAAGACCGACAGGATTCTTTCATGGGCAGCCTGAAAATACCAAAATGGACCAAATGCAAAGAGTCGGTAACTTTATGCCGTACACCAGTTGGCAGCCAAGAAGGTATTTGGCCTGATGACAATAATAACACCAGTGACTCAAAAGAGGAGCAATCTTCTGTAGAAGCTGACAGCCGTGAATTTGATTTTATTTGTGTTGATGGCACAAAAAGACAGGGAAGCATAGCTTCAGTGGAATCGCCAGTTTATGATCCCATGAGCGGGATACTTGAGCCCAGTTGTCAGATCTTTGAGGACTTTGAATGTGTTAACAATTGTTCTCAAAATGGTACCTCTGTGGGGGAGAGACTGTTGGTTGAAATGATTGGTGTAACAAAAAAGGAAATAGCTGCCGAAACCAAAGGAGGAGAATGCCAAATTGATTACCCTAGAAAACATCAAGAAGGTAGAAAACACACATGCAAGTCTGATGCAATTTGTAGCGCCATTGATCTGAGAATCTCAGAAGTGGTGAAAGAGCACATGAGAGTGTCAATGGTTGGCCCCGCTGTTGAGAGGAAGAGCATGAGTAAAAGCCTGAATGCCTTATCCTCTACATTTCCTGTTAGCTGTCATAGTGATGAAAATAAATGGATAGAAAAAGAAGTAATAAATCATACGAGTCATCAGGTGAAAGAAGAAGAAATCCTTGGTGAACGAATTTCACCTGAAAGAATGGCAAGTGAAAACATGGTGGACAAAAATGGGCACCTTCAATCAGATCAACGAGCTGAATTGACAACTGTCCATGATAATAGCTTGCTGAGAATCACTGAAGTTATACAGAAGATTGACCATGGTTGTGACTTTTCTGACGCAACATCAAAGAAGCCAACTAATGATCATTCAATCCTTGAGTTCCAAAACTCCTCTGCTAAAAAAATCATCCAGTCAAACCTGACGGCATGCAGCCATAGAAAATCTGAGCACCCCAGCAGCCCCAGTTTGGAATCTATTGGTTTGTTCTCGATGAGTGACTCCTCTTCAGCAAGAAAATGTGTTGTTTCCCAAGAAAACATTGAGGAGAAACATGCTTTGCTTCCAGAAATGAATGATTCAGGTGAACAGAAAGTAAGATGTTCTTCTTGTTTCATCGTCAGTGATCCATGTTCTAATGAAGTGGGAACCCACAGTGGTTTGGATGGCTCTACTGTGAATCGGGATTTCCAACAACTTGAACAAATGCCCAATGAAACACATTCCGCAAAGGGTTATTCAAATGACAACAGTGGCTATATTCCTGTTGAGGATATCAGTGTGGAAGTAATGCCTAGTGTTGAAGATAAAGATGGTTTCTCATGCAAACAAAACCAACCAAGTGCCATTCAACATCTTAAGAATTGTCCTGAAACATCTGAAGACATAAAATTATTACCTAAAGGGACACATACCACCAACCAAAACACACATACTGATGAAATGGCCTCAATAAAGGGCTTTGCTGTTACCACTGGTGGAAATGGTGAAACAGACAACACAACAGGTGGTATAGGTTGTATTGCAGCAGAGGAGCTGCTCAGCTGTATACAGACTTGTTCAAATAACTCAACTCAGACTTGGGTTGTCAATGAGAATTATAACAACTCCCAGCATTTATCGAATTCTCAATGGAAGTTTGATAATGATATTCAAGTTGAGGGTCAACATAATTGTAAAGTGAAAAATGAAAAAGAGACATTCACCCACACATCTGAAGCACTGGTTCCAAAGACATTGTCACAATCAAATTATGAAGAACATAATACTGACTCTATGCAGCTAAAACATAAAGTACCCCATGAAAATGTCATCAGAAATACAAGTTGCTGTAGACAGGTTCAGTTAAACACATCTGGTGATAAACTGGCTCATTCCACTCTCATGTCTAAAAAAGCAAGGTCAAAGAGGTTCAAAAGGTATAAGATCCAAACATATCCCAGCTCTTCGTCTGAATCTGTCATTAAATCCTCAGATGAGGAGAGCGAACATGAAAAAGACACTGGAATGTTTTACGCTCGTCTCTCCTCTAAATGGGTGAAACTTGGACATCAAAGCAATGAGAACCAGGAATCCAGACAAGCCAAGAGCATTATTGAAGATATTTCTTCTAAAGCGTTGGCAAGCAAATCTCAAACAAAGACATATTCTGGTGTAACTCCAGATAAAAGCCAAGAGTACACTCCAGAACGACACTCGTTACCCAATCAAGCAATGTCACAAAAGACAATTTCTGAAGCAATCATCCCATATGCAAAGAAAGGTGAAGCAGAACATACGCTCAAGGCTCAGGACTCTCCTATGCATTTTGCCTCCAGTGACATCAACCCGTTTGTTCACCAATGGCAGGGAGGTGACTCAAACCAAAACGGCTATAAAAACCCATCATTTGGAAGTGCTGCTGACCTCTCCTGTAAATCTCCGCTTCTGAACAGCACAGAGAAACGAATCACAAGATGCTGCAGTGTTGACAATGGTTTGAATGGGCAGAACTCGCCTTTCAATTCTCACCTGAGCACTTATGCCACCAACAAGGGGCTCTCAAGCACGCTTAGCAGTATAGAGGATTTTAAGGAAGAAAAGAGCAAAACATCTCAGCCCTGTCAGCAAGAATCTGTTGAAACACACAATCTTCAGGCCAACCTAACAGTGACTGAAAGTTCCTCAAGTTATGAAGCTCCTGGTGGGATTGGCAACAATTCCAGTCAGGTGGATGAACTTGTGTTTGTTTACTCCAAACAAGAGTGTGAGGCTGGCAAAACACAGGCCCAAAGAAGGAGGATGTGTGAACATGGAACTCAAACTGACCATGGCCTTCAGACTGATAATGCTGGCAACAATGATTGTGCTCTGAAAAGGAAAGAGCGCCACAAAAGGAGCAAAACAGATGTACCAACAACACAGAAAGTCAAAGCGGACATTAAAGAATCCCAAACATGGGCAAGTATGGAAAGCATGTCTGCTCAACTTTCAAAGCTGATCCACAGCACTTCAGACCTGCTTGGGGATGTCCAGGGAATGAGGACAGGAGAGACCCTCAATTCCACTCCGAAGAGGAGTTTTAATTTGTCGAATATCAACTTGTCTTATAGCGAGTCTATTGGCTGCACTACGAGAGACTGCTCAACTCAAACATCCATAGATGTTGGAATCCAGACAGATAGATTTCCTTCCACAGAAAAGAAGGAGGTCACGTTCATCAAACACCCAAGGAGCAGTTCAAATCTCATGAAGTCAATGTGATAGTCAAAGTTATTGGCTCTGAGGTTGTCAGTGTGTCTCAATGTCCGGTAAAGAATAAGGATACAGATGAGAAGATGCAGAATATGCCGAGCTGGAGGTGTACAAATTCTTCTGCAGCACAAAGGTCTTCTTCCCAATCAGAGAATGGCCCATCATCTCCTTTGAGGCCTGCTGGTGAATGTCAAAGACGTGTAAAAACTGCTTCTTCCAGAGTCTCAAAGCACAGTCCACCTGAGGCCCTGTTCAAGAAAAGTGAAACAACATCTGATATCGTCCGTAGATCATCAAAAAACCCAGAATATCCCAGCACTTGTCTGAGAAATGAACTAAAGAAAGCTACATACACAGACCGTGCATCGTCTCCAATACTGACCATGGCAGCAAGATTACACATGAAACAGAAAGGAAATCAATCAACACAGAGTCCTTCACAAAGTTCTAATAAAGGTAGTTATCCTGAAGAAGACAGCCTCACTTTGCCCTCAAGCAAACTGTCAGGATGCACATCTGTGTCAGAGGCTGATCAAATGTCCACACAGGATTGTGATATGTCCTCTTGTAAATCAGAATCCATATCACTTGAGAAGGTGAGTGAAATGACTTGCTCAAGCCCTAAAGACTCGGATAAGGGCTGTGTAAGCCTAACTTCTTCTCTGGATGTCTATACAGACACCAACACGAGAAATGTTTCCTATAAAGGTGACGGATCCAAAAGGCTCATGGAGGGTAGCACTTCAACAGAAGGTTTAACTATGCAGGATCAACTCTCTCCCAGATTTAGACCAACTGATTGGCACAAAGCTAGACGACCAGAAACAACGAGCTTCACAAGTGCTGCAGTTGAGTCAGTAGATTTTTGCGTCGATTCCTACAATCCATCTCCAGTTAGAAACCAGACTGTTCAACTTCAAGAAGACGACATGGTGTCCCTGGCACCCAGCGAGTGCAATACAGATGTTCTCGTGAACACTGAACCGATCAACAGCCTGTCCCCATGTCAGGACCAACAGATCGCCCCCGAGGACCTACCCATACACAACAAGTTCAACAACTGGTCAGGCATCAGTCACCAACAGTCCAAACCCTCCAAGAAACAGGCTCCATTGCTTACCAAAGACAACGTCAACGGCAGGAAGTGTGCCGAGTGGTGCGAGATGGAGAGTTACGTCTCGCATGTAGAATCCATGGTGCAGAGCGACAGACGGGTGAGAGAGATAGAGAGGCTGCGACAGGAGAGAGAGCAAGTGATGGCGACAGTCAACCTCCGCATGAACCCTACACCGCTGACTGTGGAGCTCACGGAGGCCAAGCTACATTACAGCCTCGGAGAGACGGATACACTGTTGAAGATGCTGTCCCCCAGGTCCACAGAAGAATTGGAACCAACAACCTCGGCCCCAACCAAACAGCAGCTGTATGATAGGTGAGATATAAATGATGTAAATTCTAATGATTTTGACATATCATAATTAATAAACAACAGAAGTCTAATGTTTAAACATAGAAGAGTTCAGAAATCAACAGTAACTGATTTTGACAGCTAGATACACTAGATATAGATATACTAGAGATGCTGTTTATCAGTCCCAACTACATGTATTACACATTTCATTTCTGACCAAATTCCCTAAATATTATCTCTTGAAACTTTCCGCTCAGACATCGCAGGAGTATTGAGGGTTTGAGACAGAAGAGGGAGGACCGTCTCCAGACTTACCGGAGAGCTCGTAGTCTGAGTCCAAGCAAACATCTTCACTCCTCTCTGCAGGAGGCCTTTTCCTCCTCCAAGGTGTCTGCCGCCATGCCCAGTCAGCATAAAGAGTACCTTCCACAACTGCGCCAAGATGGGGTAGACAGCACCAGGTAAGACTCTGGTTCTCTTCTAAAAGTACACCACGGTTAGCTCAGTAGAATAATTCCAATGTGGGAAGAAAATCACATTTGTTATTGGCTTAAAATAAATTCACTGAATTTTCTACATGGCAGAACACAAGACCCACCCCGGGGAGAGGGCCAGTGCCCATCTGACATCGAGCAGCTGCTGCGGGACTACGGGCGAGCCCGGGAAGAGGCCATGACAGAGATTGCGAAGGCTCGAGAACGACTGCGAGAGAGGACTGAGCAGGAGAAGAAGAGGCTTCAGCAGCAGGCACTGTCACAGGAAGTTAAGGTCAGTCTTTTTTTGTCTAACGTTAAGTTGTATAAGTATATATTTCTTTCAGACATGTGTCAGAGGGAACAAATGGCAATCCCCCATTTTAACACAATTATTTAAAGCAGTTCATTCTCATAGAAATTTTAACCAGCAAACATTAGGACATTTCTCATTAAAAGACCCGAACATTCAGTATGTTGTAGAAAATGTTGGCCATGATTTCATTCTTCAATTCTAATGTGCAATAATTGTTTTGGCTCTACATAAATGGATTTGGTAAATCGTGGATTTGGTAAATCGTCAGTCACAAGTCAATGCCTGTTTTTCCCCTTTCATCTCATAAGATTCCAGCTCATTTGCAAATCAATTTTCTTTTAACAAATACATTTGGATGATAAAAAACATTAGCAGATTTAGAGTTTTGTAAATGACAATACAGTATTTCAAATGACTTGACTAGAATCTCTCATCTCCTCCCGTCTTCACAGGATGACCCGAGGCATCGGACAAGAATCAGTAACAGCACTCTGTGCACTGGATCCAGCCTGAGCCTCTCCTCTGGACCAACATCAGGTACAACAGCGGCAACACTGCCCACCTACAACAAGGCAACAGAACTCATCTAAATGGACAGGTTAGTACTTATTATTGTAGCATTCAATAATATAATATAATTCATCTTTATATTTGCATAACTTTTCTTTTGCAATGAGCCACACAGAGGATAATTATGTTGTTGTTACTGGTGGTTCAGCTCTCAGGGCTGCAGGATGAAGGGCTGAAGGTCAGGACACGTCCTCCTGTATGTGGTCCTCAAAGTGTGAAGGCACAGAGAGTCTGGCTGTCTGCCCACGGTAAGGACTTGACTCTCACCAAACTCAAACAGATGTGGGCAAAACAAAGTTTCAAAGTGTGCTGAGAAATCTTCAAACACAACAAACAACTGAAATTATATATAATTATTTAAAAACAAATATTTAGTTCTAATTGTTGCACAGGTGGGTTTTCTCACATCTGTTACTCAACATTTTCTGTATTCACATTTGCTAGATGTTCGCCATGAGCCTTCTGTCACCGGGTTTGAGCCGCTGATTCTTCAACTCCATCAGTCACAACTCGTCCACGTCAACGCACCGCCTCCTTTGGCTCCTCCTCCTCGATATCCACAACGTATCAGGATATCACATCCAGCCTCCTCGGTCGAGCTCTGGCTGAGGTATGATCAGTTTTGCTGTACAGTAAAAGCATCGAGCCGTTAAACAGCTTATGTTATTCACTTTACATTTGATGATTCACTCTGTTTTTAATGCACTCTTTAAGAGGTTGAATTGTGAATTTCTTTCTCCTCAGGTGCGACTGGCCTCCTCTGGGGATTTGAGCAACCTGCTGATGGGCAAGGCTACAGCAGGCTGGAGGTAGGATTAGTTCAATTCCTTATTTATGAAGGCTTTTCCCGTTGTTTATTTTTTGATAAGATTGCTCAACTGCAAAGTGAAGACCTAACTTCAATCACTCCAATATACCAACTTTCTAACATTTGCTAATGTATTATGTCTTTGTTTATTCAGATATCAGGGAGAAGAACGAGGCATCCAGGCTTACTACAAGCCGTCCTCCTGCCCGTCTGTCCATGGTTTCTTGGGGGCCGGGGAGCTGAACAGACCCCTGGACAGTCTGTGGAACATAATCTGCCAGCTGTCCAAGAGCCACATGTACAATCAATCAGTCCGTTCAGTCTGGACTCGACCACTAGATGACAGCACTCAGCTGGGTGAGCTATCATGTCTGCCCAGTTAACATCCTCATATGGTTCCTATACATTTATATCAGATTCATCATATTTATCGTATATTAAAATATATTGAACACACGGTATTGTGGACCAATGCCAAAACAAGAAACTTCTGTCAACAAGAGTCTCTGTCTGTCTGTCATCCATTGTGCAGAACTGTATCCCAGCCTCTCTTCCTCTGTCCACAATCATGAACAGCAAAAAGCCTAAATGTGCTCTAAAATCAAAGTTTACTTACAACACTGTAGAAAAACCTTGACATGATAGAAAACTAATTAAGTTGAGCAAAAAGCTGTTTGTGTTTTGGATGTCTGGGGATGCCAGAATTGTGTGAAGTTAAGAAGCAGGTGGGGTCAAGAGCTAAAAAAGCTCAGGAACCTCAGCTTTAGGTGCATTAATTGGATACTAAGAGTATGTTGATGATAGTTCTGTAGTTTTGTTTGTGTTTTGACCTCATGAAAAGATCAGAAAGCGTTCTCCCTGGTTAATACTGAGTATCTGCAATGTGTGACAATGTCACATTTAAAGGTGTAGTTGTTGCATGTTCTAAAACCCTGTTTGACCGTTATCATCAACCAACAGTGACTGAAAAATAAGGACAACATAAATATCTGTGGCAGTCAGTAGAACTGGCAGAATCGTTTGCTGATATTTATTTGCAATGTGCGCTTCTTGTGGAGAATGGTTCACCAAGCAGATAATATTTTTATTTTTGAAGACTCTATGAAAAATATTTACATTTTTGTCTATGCTGCCAAGTTTTTCATATTTTTGCAAGGTGTTTCAGACCCTCAAAATGTGTTTGCATGTAGTGAAATGTCAGCATCATTAGCTATGAAGTCGACAGTCCCATACATCACTGCCCCGCTGGATTTGTTTATTGTATGACCAACTCCATTCTCACACCTGCAGTATGTTGCTGACTGCTATATCCTTTATTACGTCATTGGGACACTCCAACTGCACCTGTTCTGCTCTTTTTGTACATAAACTGTAAGACAAACATAGGTAGAATGTTGCTTAGTTTATTTTTTTTATGCTTTTCATCCCTTTTAGCAAGCAGTTCTGTTTATCTGTTTGTTCCTTTTAAAAGAAAATATATATTTCCTTTAATTTTCATGATGTCATCAACCATTTTTCCCAAATGACTAATTCTCCCTGTGTGTCTGTTCAGTCTACATTCTTACAGATCCGTCCACCTGCCACCTCAGCCAGCCGCGAGACTTCTGCTGCATCTGCACCGAGTCCAAAGAGGTAAAATGAATCAGCTGAACCTCTTATTTCTGCTAGTCGTCCTTGTATCAGGCCCCCTGAACCTCTTTATCACATTTGTACGCTATAGTCTGAAGGAGAAAAGTCCACTTTCCTTTCATGTAGTGTGGAAGGAACCTGGATTGGACAGAGCTGTGTGTACTTTTTTTTTATAAAGACCAGTCTATAATAAACACTGTAAAATAGCATTTTAAAAAATGCTGTACCTCTACAACCATCTGTGTAGACTTCCACAGAAATATCACTGAATGTAAACAACACTGACCCAGAGGCAGTGGATTTGGAAACACTCAGTGCCAGCTGTTGGTTAACAGTGTGGATGTACAGTTGCCTCTCGGCTGCTGAAATCTCTGCACTCTATTTTATTGATCTTTTTTTTTTTATCTTCTGTTCTTTTGTCTTTGCTTTCTGCCTCAGGGTGACCGCTACGTGCTGGCAATGCAGTCTGTGTTTGAGGAGTCTCTGCCTCGTCCTAGTGTGGATGCCGTCCGAGGCGAGATGATGCCCAGTTGTTGGGTCCTGCAGCCAATCAGACGTAATGGACAGGAAGTCACCAGGGTCTTCTACCTGCTACAGGTGAGACAGGGTTGCTCTTCAATAATCCAACTTGCTGACACTTGTGTTGTACTCATGAGCAGTACCAACACATTTTAACTACCAATTGGTGGTTTTTGGTTAATTTACCCCTCTAAATGATTTAGATTTTTCAGGTTCCAAGAAAAACAATCGCGTCAACCAACCACATCTGTCTGACCTCCAAAGGTTGGATGTAGAGGTGCTGAGGACAAATTAAACCCAGTTGGTTTTACCTTGTAGTTATCAATCATGGACCCTCAAACTTCTGTCAGAAAATGAAATGCAGCGTTTCATAAAAAACTCTGATATGCTTAGATGAAACTTTTTCCCCTTGTTTACAAACATCATTGTGTAGTATTTTTAACATCTCACTCTTTCAAAAAGCTTTTATTTTGAAAGCCTACAACAGAAAGTTTACCCCTCAATTCACATTCATAAAGTAGTTGATGAAATTTGATACATTTTGTCATTTTGTAAGCTTACTTTTTAAAAAGCGTTCTTTAAGTGAACACCTTCAAGTTAAATCTTGTTGTTTTTTTGAGCGTGCTGTAAATATAAACGGGTTGGGCCGGGTCATCTCTGGATTTTGTGCCAGTTTTGGTTCTGAGCATTGAAGGTGCACGTTTGCAAAACTGAACCGCTGGAGAACTTAAATCCAGCTATATATTAGCACTGGACAACATTAGCTTAAAACGTTCCATTTAAAGACTCCATTTATGTTGACAAAAAGTCGTTAAAGAGATGTTGAATGTAAAATATTATACACATCGCAGTATTTCAGTCTGTATAAATAATGGTTGTCAGGCAGTGCTTTATGTGTTAAGTGTTTGGTCTTTGCCAAATGTTTTTGTTCTCCTTCAGGTGGACTTGGGGACTCCGTCCTTTCCTCAGCGACTTTTAAACACTGTTGCCAGAAGACAGGCGTCTGTCATCGCTGACCTTGACGTCTTCCTCTCTTCGTATATCCCCGGGATGAAGACCCATTAGCAGTGAGCACTTCGACTAAACTGTCTCCAGCAGGGACTTAGTCTGCCTTTAACCTTTTTGCACCTGAAAACTATTTACTTGACTTTTTTTTAATTCTAAGAGCACTGTTACATTGAAGCAGCTTTTTTGTATGAAGGTTTTTTTTTTTTTTACATATTGAAACTGTATTTTTATACGTGTTATGTACATTATTGCTTGTAACAATCACAATCTCATTATACCAAAGATTCACAGAAGTCTTAAGGAGCAACTTGAAAACACATATTTAGCTAAATACCCAGTGTGTCTGCTGGCTTCAAAATACCCCACCTAATTCATTTATTCAGGTTTGTTTTTAACGCTATAGCCTGATAAGTACACTGATATAGTTCAGCTCCTTTTAAAACCTTTAAGTGATTAAGTGTTGGTTGATTTCTGCTTTTACATAGCCAAATAAGTGAGACTTTTACAAGCTCAGCTACAGAGATTAAGAACTTTTAAACTGAAGTTAGACAGGTTACTCTTATTTAATGTTCTTTACTACTCAAACTCTTCAGCATTGTTTACTTTCAAAGGTAACATTCAAACACCCCCGTGTTTAAGATAACATTCAGTAGTGTCTTTGTTCCAGATCTGGTTTACAAGGATTTTGCAAAAACTTCAAAGCTAAGATTCATAAGATATGTATTTATTTCCTCAGGCATGCTTTTTTTTTTTAACCACTTAATGACCTTAATTCTGCAGAAAATGAACTTTTTTATAGACAATGGGGGGGGGGGGGGTTGAGTAGCTTTTTAACCAGTGAAATATAAGGATTAGCTCCTCTCACTGCTCGAGTAACTTTCCTTTTTTCCCTAAGCTATGTGGTGGACAGTACGGTGTTGTAATGAAGAAATTAAAGAGAAGTATTGTTTATCTGTGTAGGCAAATTGAAAACCTCTCATAGCACTTTTTTTAGGAAGGAAAAAAAAAGTTTTGTAGCAAACAGGGAGGTGGTGAGTTAAAAAGTCAAAAACCTTTAAATATAAGATGTTGAGGAGCAGTGGAAGATTACTTTTTAACCAAAGGTCTCTGACTCAAGTCCCTTTGTGTGAGCAAGCATCTTGCCTGCTGAAGTGTCCTTGAGCTAAATACTGCAGAGACCAGGGATAGAACTCTAAAACTGGACCTGACCCCTGCCCTCCCTTCTTTTTTTTTCACTGTTAAAGCTATTGATACCGACACAATATGGTACCCTCAATCTAAATAAGATGGGTTTTTGTTCTCGCCTCTTTTGAAGTCGTATTTATTTTGTTCCTCTTGCCTTCTGTTTGAAATGCTGTTGAATGTTTTGTATAGTTGTTGTTTTTATAAGCAAAGCTTGTTTTTGTGCTGCACAAAATATTAATGCATCCCTTAATGTTACATATTGGAGAGTTCTTTTGTTTTTTTTTGTACAGTGTTGAAACTATGCAGAGTCCAAGTCAAAGGCAGGACTGTTGTTGGTCAGAGCGGGGTCAGCTGTATCCAGATATGAAGCCATATAATTAACAGTAGTTGAAGGTTCATGACTGTTTTGGCACAGCAGCTGCAGCGCTCGATGTGTGAAGAGGAACCAAAGAAAATA